ACCTGATCGATTGTCGGCTGGCTCCGACATCAACCCCCATATTTCAATGCCTTTCTCTTGCCTTCTGAAATAGACTGAGCTCTATGTAGTATGTATCTCTCCAAATAAATCAACTCAACCACGGCTCATTTTTTAATTCCTTCCTGTGTGAAGCCAAGGACCCACACTTGGCGGGGCACGTCCCAAGGGCTGAATTGAGACCAGGGACATGGCCCTTCTCTCGCCCCACATTCATTTTTCCTGTATCATCTCTCTGGCGCCCCTTTTCCTATATCAGTTACAAGTGAAATTTTATCACATCACTAGACAGAATCTATATTTGAGCAAAACTCTGCTAATATTTCATTTGAAATCACATAATATTTACTTGAAAATGACAACATGATTTGATTAAAAATTCTATAATTTATTTATTTATATATACATATTAGAATTCACACTAGCTTTCCCTCCATGGAGCCACATTCACAGAGTCTGACTCTGAAAAGAGAAAAATCCCAAAGAGGCAAGCAGCCACCGAAGGAAAGCCAGAGCCTGGCCCCAGCATATGAGGACCATGCTCCTGTGCGTAGGGACACAGGCGTGCACGAGGGTACACACGTTCTGTCCCTCTTTCCCTTAGACTGGTGCCCGTAATTCGACACACTGAATTTCCCTGAACAATGTGCTTTTACTGTACATTTTCTTCACTGTTACGGGTTGAATCGTGTCCCCCTCAAAATTTATATGTCGATATTCTAGCCCCTAGTACCTCAGAATGTGACTTTATTTGCAAACAGGGTCATGGCAGATATAATTAGTTAAGTCGAGGTCATACTGAGTATAGCTGATAGGGTGGGACCCTAATCCAATGACTAGTGTCCTTACAAAAAGGGGAAACTTGAACACTGACATGTGCCAGGGACAGCAGCACGTGAAAGCGAAGGCAGAGATCAGGGGATGCTTCTACAAGCCAAAGAGCACCATAGACTGCCAGCAAACCACCAGGAGGTAGCAAAGGCGCATGAAACAGGTCCTCCCTCACGGCCCTCAGAATCACCACCTCTGCCAACACCTCAGTTCCAGTCTCCAAAACCGAGAGACAACAAGTTTCTGTTGTTTAAGGCACTCAGTGTGCCCTTCTGTTACCCAGCTGGGGCAAATTAATCCACTCACTGACATTACCTTTTCCCTTCTACAGCCATGCACAGCTAAGGCTTATCAGGTGTGACAGGGCCACCCAGAGGAGCACACGGGGAGATGTGGGGAGTCAGGGACTTGCCTCTGGAGCAGCCTTTATCTGAGCCCTGTAATAAAAGCCATCTGGTTCCCTTCTTGCCAGGATCCATGTGTCAGCAGCACCTCCAACTCTTCCCAGCCAGCCAGGCCTCTGCCATGCTGGGTCAGCAATGTGGAGACACGGGTGATAAGATGCATATCTGGGAAAAAAGCAAATGGAATTAGGGAGTGGAGCAGACCAAGCCCTACAACCATTAAGAAACACGTTTTGTGGTTAGACCACAGTGTGCATGACAGATAAGGCGATGTGGAACAGAAATCCATGTAAAAAGTGGCAATCTGTGGCTTCTGGTAAGATAAGGTAAACTGTTGGAAGGGGCGGAAGGAGAGGAGAGAGAAGGGAACCGTGGTTTGAGGATTGGGAATTGTTTCAAGGTCTTCGGAATGGGGTTAGCCTTGATATTTCCGGGTTAATTAGTGCTGGTTCTGAGACTAGACAGCCGGCCAGGGGAGAGTTCTGGGAAGGTAAGTCCTACGGCAGTGTATGGGATTCCAGGATGAGGCGTGGAGGCTGGGATGGTGATGCCAAGCAGGCTGAGTGCTGTGGGGTCAGAAGGAAAGAGGAAGTGTTTGAGCAGGGGAAGCACAGAGGAGCTGACGAAGAGGCTGTGGGACAGAAAAAAGGGAGAAGCTAGTTCTGGGAAAGTATGTGGACAGCACCGAGGCAGAGGGAATTGTTGAGTCAGGGTTTGGGTTTCTGAAAAAACTGTTTATCTTGTGGGCAAGCCAGGATACAGGGACGCTCAATTCTGGCTTTGAGCTGGTCCACAGAGGTGAATCAAGAAAGGGGGTTACAGGGTCCAGGCTGGTACTCCCCTCACCTGGGCAGGCTGAGCTGAGCAGCATGAACAAGAATCCCTGGGACCTGCACAGCCTGTATGTGCTCATAGGCTGAGGTTCCTTTCCCCTCTTGTATTCACGCCATAGAAAGCCAGCTAAGGATACCATTCACGAAAAGCCAGGATAACTGAGGGAACCCGAGGAGGGATCTGGAGACCTCACCTTAGCGGCTGGTGGTAGAAGCCCTAATTTCTCACATGGCGCCTAGGCAAGTCTCTTGGTTGATGGTAACATGAGCTAGAAGTTGTATAACTGCTAATGTCTGACTGCCTTCTCTCACACATGCCAACTCTGACATCTGCCACTTGGCTACAGGGTGGGACGAGAGCCAGGTCAACCCTTGACCTGGGAGCACAGTTAAGACCAGGGTAATATAATACCCCCAGCAAATCATAGCCCACGTGGTAAAAAACCCTTTCAGCCTTCCCAGGAAGCAAATTCTCTCCCTCCTGGGAGAGAGCCAAGAACAGAGGGGAGAAAGGAAGGTGCACACCACTTCCTTCCCGGGAAGCAGAGATCAGTACCTGGTGAGGAGGCCGTGCTGGGGGAGCCAGGGTGCTCGGAGAGCGAGGGGGCAGGCGAAGGAGAGGTCCCAGGGAGGAGCAGCGCCAGCCCAGGCAGGGGACTTCAGGGTTGTGGCCACACTGCAGTATTTGGGCAAAGGCATCCCAGGCCCTGCGGACGGTTCCATGGTCTTCAAAGAAAACCCCTGAGAACAAGCAGCACCATTACCTGAGTTGTAGCCCACAGCCCAGGAGAGGATGCCTGGCTGGGGCAGGACTCAGCTCTGCGGTTAGTGGCTTCTCCACAGACGCTCAGGGTGTCCCCTGAGTCACCTTCCTTGGGAGACTCAGCCCGGGAAACAGGGGAGGGTTGAAAGAGCAAGAGCTGAGATTTTCGGGAAACCCAGCTTTAAATCCATCACAGCCTGCTGGCTGCGTGCTCACTTCACTCCATGCTTCGGTTACTGCCCAGATGATAAATGGAAAGCACCTGGCATGTAAGTAGCTCATTAAGCGTTAGTTTTCTCCCCCCACCTCCACCCAAGTTGTAGGGATTCCCAGGGGTAAGCCCATACTTCCCTTTACAAATCCTAACCCCAATGACAAACTGACCCCTAACCCAAGCTACAGACTTCCCTCCTAACCCGGTCACCTACAGGACTAACTAGACCGAGCTGAGAGCCCAGGGCTGTGGCTTCCGCAGACCTGCTCAGAGGCGACAGCTATCACCCAGGGCCCAAGATCACACTCCGTTGCCTGAGCCCATCACGTTCCTGTTGGGTCTGCTCTTGGCCAAGGCCACAGTTCTGACCCCAGGCAGACTTACCTCAGCCCTGGACTCCTCTGCCTCAGCCCCTTCAAACAGTTGGAGCTCAGGGCCTCAGCCCAACTGACTCCTGGTTGCCAAGCATGTTGCCATGGGTGTGAGCCAGCAGGCAGGCTGAGGGCCAAGTGAGGGTACTGAGCATGTGCGGAGGGGTGACTGGGGCCTTGGCGGCTTGGGCGGGGCCAGGGGGTAGGGGGTTAGTCTTCGTCTTTCTCTTTGAAGAAGGGGAGAGGGGGTGTTGGAGAGAAAGGCCTCAATTCCCAGAAGCTCAGGCTTCTCCACTGCCGGGAGTCAGTCAGTGGGAAGCCCTCATGGGTCCAAGGAGAGTCTTGTGAAAAAGCTGATCTGCCTTCACACTGTCAGGCAGGGGGCTGGAGTGGAGGGACTCCTGGCTGGCCTAGGGTCTCTAAGAATATGCCTGTATTTAAAACAAAATACCCAAAAGCGTGGGCATGTCTGTCTGTAACAGGCAGCACTCTGCTGAGGAGCAGAAGTGTGGTGATCACTTGGGTGGTAGGAGTGGACAGCAGTGACCAGAGGAACAGAAGTCTAGATTCTGCCCTCATTTGAACATCCACAGGAGGAGGCTTGTGCTTAGGTATTTGGCAGTCCTTGTGCACTGGTTGTGCGCCCCACTCTGTGTTCAGTGGAGAATACCAAAAACTGTGCAGGGACATTTGTGGGTGTCTCTGCCACATCCATCCCCCCTTCCAGCAGTTCCTGTTTGTATTTGTGGACCTGTGTGACTAGGGGAGGCTGACTGTACCCACTGAGTCACGTGTGTGTCCATCAGCACATTCCATTCCCTGGCCACTAGGGTTGGCCATGTTCCTAAGCCTCTCCAATCAGAATGAATCTCAAAACTTTTGTTGGAAATCCTGGGTTATAGACTTTCTCTTCCCTCCTATACATAAATAAGAAAGCATATAGTTCTGGGAGCTTCTGACAACCTTTTGGGGACACTGAGGCCATTCCCAGGGAGGACAGATCTAAAGAAAACAGATTCTTGATGAAAGTGTTCAGCCCTGCCTGAAGGCAGCCCTACTGCTAGAAGCTTCAGTATGTGAGCCTATAAATTCCCTTTACTGATTATATCAGTTTTTATTGGATTTGTCCATTGCTTCAACCAACATCTCTTGATGTCTGCCCTCATGGAACTTAAATTTGCAGTCAGGAGAATGACTGTTGCCCTAAGGACTGAGTTATTTGGTACACAAAGTTAGAGTCCAAGAAAGACTAAGTCTCTGTCTGTGAGGAAAGGATTCCTGAATAAGGTAGGTAGGATTTCACCAGTGAAAGGAAAAAGAATATTCCATCCTGTCTTGGTGGGAAGCAAAAGCTAAGAGAGAAAGATGCATTTGCAAGACTGTGATTTTCTTTTCAGGGTGGAGGGAATGGGGTGTCATGGAAAAATCAAGATGTGGATATTTGGAAAGGGGCCAAATTGATGGGAGCTTTGAAAACCAAGCAAATAAATGTAAACAACAACGTCATAGCCAAAAGGGACTTGTCATGGGGTTTGAGCAATGAAGTGATGTGAAATGGTTTAAGAAAGAATATCCAAGTGAGGATGGAGCCAGTTTGTATCTGTGGACCTGTGTGGTCCACAAAAGAGAAAAGAGCCATGGAGGTCCAGGAAGAGACCATTAACAGTGACCCAGACATAACGTGACAGGACAGGACTAGGAAAACAGCACCACTAAATATTTACCAACACTTTGCTGGGTGCTAGGAATCTAGGATGAGTAAGACTGGTCCCTGTCTTCAGGGGGCTTATAGTCTACTGCAGACAGAAGATAGGTGTGCCAGGCATGTAAGATAGCAGGATGGGAATGGCAGGGAGATATGTGTACAAAATAAAGGAACAAATAATGGCTGGGTGGGACAACTTCACAGAGAGCTGACAGTGTGTTGGAAGTCCTGCCTGGGTTTGGTGACAGATGGGACCCACGAGTTAAGGGAGAAGGAAGGGCTGAAGCTTGTCATGGGAATAGAAATAGAGACTTTTTGACGGCAGACTCCAAGATAGGGGGTGTCACTGTCCTTCCCATGTATTCTGATCCTAGAAAACCAGGAGAATGGTGATGCTATGGGGGGAAAAAAGGATAATAATAATTTTAAAAGTAGTAGTTATGAAAACTTACTATGCATCAGGCACTGTTGAGCCTCATGATAAGCATACCACGTCGTTACTGTTACTCTCATCCTGTGGAAGAAGTCTGATTGCAGAGCCTGCCCTCTTAAGCCCTACACTAAGCTACCTGACAAAGTCTGCTGCATGCAGGAAAAGATGACTGAAATAATTTCAAATGACAACAAGGTTTTGTTAACTACTTTTGCTTTAGCCCCAAGATCCTTCCCCATCATGTTATGGGTGAGGTATAGATTTCTTGCCAATCCCAAATAATAAAAACCACCAAACTTTGACAAATCAAGGGAGGTTCATTGTGATTGCTTAATAAGAAGTGTTTGCAAAGTGCATTACACGCAGTGAATAGTCATCGGTCGTACTTTACATAACTTTTGTGAGAGTTTCTCACAGCTGAGATTCTGTGTGAGAAGAGCAAGGTTAGAGGTATAGAGATTTGGGGCTCCTGCTCCTCTAAAGTTCTTTAAAGAAATCACCAAAACTTAAAAAGCATTTTCTCAATCTACATCAGATAATGTATAGTACATCTGAGAGCCAGGTAAGAAATATGCAGCATAGCTTAGCATTTGAACTATTATCTGCCCACACAGAAGACATTAGGAAAACTATTAATGATGTAAGGGACCACATTTTGTGAAACTGTTTCCGTTTGGAAACACAGAATCAAATGATTCTAAAAATGGGATCAGTGTGGTGGCTGGTGGTTGCCATCATGGAGGAAACTTTCCTGGGGTTATTCTTCGTCTCAGCCTCATCAGGGCAGAGGAGGGACTGCAGGTAATGGATGTACTTGATCGCGGCTCTGAGGGTTTCCACTTTGCTGAGTCGCTTCTCCAAGTACTCCTCTGGCAGGTGATGTCGGAGCTGGGCGTAGCCTTCATTGACACATTTCACCCGCTGCCTTTCCCGCTCATTCCTTTTCCGGATAAAGGCCGGCCCATAGGAATAATCGCACCTTCTGTAATTTGGATAAGGCACTGGGAAGGAGAAGGCACAGGGTTCACCGTAATTTTCCACGATCAGGGAGTCACTGGAAAAAGGCAGCAATGGCAGGTCTTCAGAGAAAGGGGACGGCACTGGGCCCTCAGGGTACAGGTGGAACATGACCATGGGGTCCAGATAGAAGGACCTGGCCAGGGGCAGGTGGGCAGAATCAGTGAAGACAGGCAGTCTGTCTGGCAGATTGGAGTAGCTTCTATTGTCCATCATTTCCTCTTTAGTCTGGAAACATAACCAAGTTTATTAATTTAGCCAGATCAAAAGAGAGCAGATATCATTGACTTTCTCGGAGATCAGAGACTTTTCTGCTTTGATAAATAGTTTCTTAGCTCATTCTGAAAACTAGGTGTGGTTACAATATTCTGTAGGTAGTAAGAGAGGATTTTTGCTGGTACACAGAAGCAGTATAAAATAACATTGACTCACCTTGAGAGAAAGTTATTTCCTTTCAATCCTCTTTCAGTCCTTGTGATTACAAAGACATATCTTTAGTCTGGTAAGACTGTGTTTTCCACGCTACCAGAATGCTTTCTAATCCTCCTCAGATGGAAGTCTTCAACAAGCAATAGTATCTGGCTAGAATCTAATAATATTTTACTGTTAATGTCCATTTATTGTGAATTATTCTGTTTTCACATTTAGAGTAGTGATGCAAAGTCTCTTTTAAAAGCAAACAAATTTGAGCAAAAAATGTGGATTGACTTGAAGAAGAATAGTGAGTAAACAGCAACACAGGTGGAACATAGATATAATGAAGATTGTGAAGGGGCATGCAAATATGAAGTTTAGGAAACACTGAAACACCACAATATTCAAATATGTGTGGGAGAAATTACAAACCAGTTAATGACCATGCAACCTCACAGGCATAGCTTTCTTAAATGCTACCTGTATGCCAGGGGCAAAACTGAAAATAAAGATGAAAAAGGAATCATTTGCTCTTAAAAATTCACTATAAGATTCCTTTAATGAGAAATTCCCCTAACACATTTAAAACATAGTCAACTTATATATTTTCCTTAGAACTTTAAATATACTGAGTAAAGTGCATCTGTACTTAGCTGGGTTTTTTTTCATGGAACTTAAGAAGAATAAAGTATTACACACCAACAGGTCCCACACCAACACACGCCCTCTTTCTGAATAGGAGTGCATCCAGCTCCTTTATTAAACTGCCATTACCTTTTACCTTTGACTGTAATAATGTAGTCACAGCAGATTTCACAGGGACATTACAGTTTTACTGGGCGTCAGGGAAGTGCTGTAGGAAAAGAGCATTTTCCTTTCAGTCATTAACATTCTAAGGTTTCAATCTTGGCTTTGCCTCTTCTTAGCTGTGTGTCCTGAGGCAAGTCTTAACCTTTCTGAGCCCTAGCTTGGTCCTATGTCCAACCGAGATATTAACTATTTTGCAGCGTAGTTGTGAGGATTAAATGAAAAAAATATATATATAATGCACCAGGCATTAGTTCTTTTCCTCTTTCCTTTCTTAACAGATGAATACATCCCTTTCTCAACTGCACCTTATAGAAAACCTGGCTTATATTTCCCTAATACTGGAAAATCAAACATCAATACATCCAAAGCACATTTGTTGAGATGAAGAACATCCCCAAAATGGAAAAGGAAAAGCAACATGAAATCTAATTGTGGGCCTTCAGAAAAGAAGGAAAGATGGCTTTATGTTTATGGGCAATATTAGAAACACTGGTACATGTTTTTCTACCTGAGCACAGCAAAATTCTGCAAGCTGCACTATTTACAATAGTGAAGCAAACTAAATGTCCAATGACAGATGACTGGATAAAGATGTGTGTGTGTGTGTGTGTGTGTGTGTGTGTGTGTGTGTGTGTAATGGAATATTATTCAGTCATAAAAAGAAGGAAATAATGCCATTTGCAGCAACACAGATGGACCTAGAGATGATCATACCAGGTGAAGTATGTCACACAAGGACAAATATGATATTACTTACATGTGGAATCTTAAAAAATGATGCAAATGAACTTATTTACAAAACAGAAACAGACTCGTAGACATAGAAAACAAACTGATGATTACCAAAGGGGAAAGGTGGGGAGGGATAAATTAGGAGCTTGGGATTAGCAGATACAAACTACTATATATAAAATAGATAAAACAGCAAGGTCCTACTGTATAGCACAGGGAACTATATTCAATAGCTTATAATAATCTATAAGGAAAAAGAATATATATATGTGTTAACTGAATCACTATGCTATATACCAGAAACTAACACAGCATTGTAAATCAACCATACTTCAATTTAAAACAAAATCAACTCTGCAGGCTGCGCTATGTAACGAAGGGAGCAGCTTCTAAGCACCAGGATTCAAGTGCAATAAAGTGTATTACAGTTCTTGTGGAAAAACCTATCTTATAATGCAATAATGAAGAGGATCAAGTATGGCTACTAAAAAGACAAATGACTCTGGGACCAGAAAGGGCAGTTAAGGGATGGGGGACTGGGGATGAGGGGTGGGGAATTCTGAGTGGTGGGGAGGGTTATAATCAGTCATGGTGAAACAGGCTGGAAAAGTAGTAAATGCCAGGAAAAGCTCTTCTGAATAGGGGTGGAGTGGGGAGATGAGATAAGTGCTAAAGATCCAATTAAAAATCAAAACAGAGGAACAGGAAGTAAAAGATTCCAAATTACTAACTAAATGGCTTAAAATAACTAACATAAAATGAAAATCTCTGGATTACAAACTAGCCAAGATTCTGTCAAAAAAATAAATAAATAAAAAAGTTGCTGAGATAAAAAGAGTTAGGAAATCCCCAAGCCAGGAATTCTAGTCGCTAAGAGATGAAGGACGTGTATGGCAGAAAGCACAAAATGATGGCACAGTGGGTACGGAGCCCCTATGACTACATTTCTGAGAACATCAGAGCCTTATTTCTGCTGAGAGCTAACAAGCCAGAACTGATACAAGGGGTGCCAGGAAGTGTCATCAAAGCCACCCACACAAGAATTCTTTGGATATGGTTCAACCTGACAGAAAATTTTAATATCTTAAGCTTTGACCCAGATGAAAGCTGAGTAATTTGTATATGCTACAGGTAATTAAAAGTTTCTAGGTTTTAAAAAGACTTTGCATAATTCATAGAGAAAGAGCCTAGTGTCTTTGGAGACACACTGCTGAGAAGCTTGTTCTATTGAACCAAAAAGTTCACCCATCAATGTAGCATTTAAATATGATTATCTTTTATTCAAAGGATAAAATTTAACCATCCTATCACAATACAGGAACGATAGAATGAAAAATGCAGTAATGAAGAGGATCGAGATAGGGAGCCTAGTGGAAGCTGGATATGTTTATAGAAATTGAGTACAAGTCTTTTTTAAAAGAAAGCAACACAGACTGTAAACGCTGGGGCTCCAAAGCCAGATACACACACAGCTAACAAATGCACCTATCTTTTAGGGGAAATCTCAGGTTTCTGTCTTAGAGCTCTTCTGGGAAATAAGTGATGAGGTCTTAAAAGATAAAATCCCAAGAGATTCTGGATGCTCTACTGAGCATCAAAGCTTCAACTTTCAGAGACATTCAAAATACCTGGCATGTAAAAAACAAAGCTACAACTGCACATATAATTGAACTATGGAATGTTAGGGCTGGAGTAACCTTAGAAACTCTTTATTCCAATCCCTTATAAATTGTTGCAGGGCTAGTTGCAGACCAGAGGTCAAAACCTGGGTCTCCTGACTTTCAAACCAAAAAACTCTTTCCATTCCTCCAGATGATTTAATCATCAGCAAAACTGAGTCTTTCAACGTATGTGCATGTTTGATAGTTCAATATAATGGAATAATCAGATAATTGAAAAAAAATCATCATTTATCACCCGTGCCCAGGGATTTTCTTAAAAACCATTTTTATTCTCCCCCATGCGCCACTCTGGAGAAGAGTCTCTTACCTGAATTTTGTTGCTGAAGTGCTGTATTTTGGGCTGAGTTGGACTTAACCGGATTTATAGGTGATCATTTTTGTAACAACATGCAAAATAGCTTACAGTTAAACAGAACTGCTCAGTCTGGTTTAGCTGTTTTTTCTACCTAATATGTAGATATGACAACACACTATAACACTAAATAGAAAGGTTTGCTTACAAAATTGGACTCTTGTAAAAAAATTCTTTTGTAAAAGACTCCATTCCCCGTTATATAATTTTAAATAAAAATTGTTTATGGAAGATATCTTTGAGTAATAATCTCATAATGTGCAAATATTGGTCGATATTCTTTTAAATAGAGATTAAGGCCATAACCAGGAAGCTCAGCATGAGCCTACATTTTATTATATACCTATTAAAATTATCTTCCTTCTAAATAGACTTTTTTAGAGCAATTTTATATGCACAACAGAACTGAGCAGAAAGCAGAGTTCCCACATAACCCCTGCTCCTACATACACACATCCTCCTCACTAGCAACATGCCAGCCCGACTGACACATTTGTTACAACGGATAAACCAATATGGACCCATCATTATCACTCAGAGCCCACAGTTCAGAGATCACTCTTGTGTTGTACATTCAACGCGTTTTAACAAACGTTTAACGACACGTCCACCAACGTCACATCGAACAGTTTCACTGCCCTAAGCAGCCTCTGTGCTCCACCTATCCCTCTCTCCCTTCCCCTACACTGACAACTACTGTTGTTTTTTGTTTTTTTTAACTGCCTCCATAGTTTTGTCTTTCTCTATTCCTAGTTTATGGAGAGTTTTTGTCATGAATGGCTGTTGGATTTTGTCAAATGCTTTTTCTGCATCTATTTGTAAGATCATGTCATTTCTCTTCTTTAGCCTGCTGATGTGATGGATTTCATTAACTAATTTTCAAACATTCAAGCCTTGCATACCTGGAATAAAGTCCACTTGCATAAAGTTGAATTTCCATCTTTTAATACTAACAATAGAATCAATAATTTTAGGTTAGATTTTGGTTTTAAAAAGATTGTTTTAGGTGGTAGAGCACAGCTTAGCATACATGAGGTCCTGGGTTCAATCCCCAGTACCTCCTCTAAAAAAAAAATAAACAAACAAACATAAATAAATAAATAAATAAAATAAATAAAATAAACAAATTACCCCTCATAGGATAAAATAAAATACATGAAAAAAATAAAAAGATTGATTTTCACTAACCAGAAAATCCATTAACAGCTCCTAAAATCTCATCCTTATGAATTTAATGTAATTTAGTTCTAACACAATTTTTGCCAAGAATTTCTTAGAACAAGCATTCCTTCATTCATTTTAAGTTTCTCCATTTATCAAAAAGATACTTGTATACTTACAGAAACCCATCTAAGTACCCATACATTCTCTCTCTCTCCCTCTCTCTCTTCACACACACACACAGATAATTTAGTACCAGTGTTTTATGAATAGACTAGTATAAAACAATAGTCTTACAACAGGGTACAAATTGTCTTTGCATCTTCAAGTTCACCGCACAGCAAAAGAGAGAGGAGAGAAAAGTTAGGAGACATAGATACACTGGCAGGTGTTTCAAAAATTATTTTTATTGTTATAATTCAAAGAGGACATAAGAAGAAAAAAAGCCAGTTATCCAATAACTGTTATACCTTTCAGAGGCAGGCAACCAGAACTCCAGTCCTAGTTCAAAGCTATACACACTAGAGCTCCAACGGCTGCCTCTCAACCTGACTGGAGATGCTGACAAACATGTGTATGTCATCAATCCAGGGGGCTTGGGTTTAAAAGAAAATTTCTTTATTGCAACTGTCCAAGTCCTTAGGATTCATCCTTAAATATACTAGAAGAAGACAAGAAAGACCACACACCAAGATTGTGTTTAGTCATTAGTGTAAACTAGCGAATGGCCAGTTTGTCCTAGGATGCATTGCATCAGACATCACAGTACATGAAGAAAATCTGCATTTTGTGAAGGGCCACCAGGCATTTGGGATTCAATTGACCATGAAGTACAGCCACAGGCCAACCAGATATCTAGATAATATAGTCAGTGCAAAATTCAAATAGGTAAGTCAGGGCTTTGATGAGGCTGGCTATGCTGCAAAATATAAATGAAACTTGAAAATAAAAGGCAAAGTCTATTTACAAAAGTATGTGTAGTAAAGTGGCTTGAGAAAAGTTACGTTAAGCACTTCCCACGCATCCCTCCCCTCCCAAACAAAAACAAAAACAAAAACAAAAACAAAAACAAAACAAAACACCACACAAAAACCCCACCTGAAAATTATCTTGAAAACCAAGTTAAAACTATGTGGTAAAAAAAAAAAAGAATGCTTTTTCCAGGTAAAGGACTTCAAGATAATTTACAGGCAGACTTATTTTTATTAGTAAAAGTCATAATATGAAAGGTTTGTTGGCTGACTTTAAGGTGTGTGCTTTTACAAATGTCTCCACTAATGTGTTAACGAGAAAAGAAAATACCAAGCATCTTTCTGTTTCTAGTTTTGAATTTTCCATCAAAAGTTGGTGAAATCAACAGGGCAATAAAACAAAATCCAGGAAAACACAGTCAGTTTTTCCCCATTGTCTGCCTCATTTCTTTCTAGTCACCTTGAATTCGATTCCCAATTAGCTGAGGACAACATGACGGTCAAAGACGGACTTCCGCTGCTCTTGAACTTGAAGCTTCCAGCGCTGCTGGGCATACTCTACCTTATTCAGCACGTTGGCTCGACTGCGGGAGCGGGCCAGCACATCGTGGGCATTTGCAAAAGGCTGGTGATCCTAAAAGTCCAGGATGGAGAACATCAGACGGCATGACCAGTGGAAAACACACACACACACCCCAGCAGTTATCAAGCCATGGAGGAGCAGCTGGACTTTTCAAACAACAGACTGTCCAATTTGGCCAAGCACTCTTACGCACTCAATTGCCAGAAGCAGGATGAATTCAACTACAGAAACAGGTGGTTCAAGTAAAATAAGCAATGAGGAGGTATTTGTGCTTATGTTCCCATGAGTCACCTTTTCCAAAGACATTTCTCTTAAGAAACAGGGACCAAGACAAAGACACTGATCATTTATGTTAAAGAGAAGCCCTCCTTGAAGAGTAGGAGAAAGAAAATCTGTCTTCATGTTAATTATCTACATGTTACAGATACGGAAAGTAGGTTTTACTTTGCTTTATTCAATACTATATAGCTAATCTGTGGCTGAGGAAAGACCTGTCTTTTAATTTCCTGACTCCCATTATCTTAGAATTGTTTCTTGCCAGCTTGGAGCCACGTTCATCCTGGGAGATGAGATGACAGGATCCTATCTTGGTTGGTTTTAATCTCTCCCCATGCCGTCAACACATACAGTCAGAGCGTTCTCATTTCCCCCTTCCCCAATCTGTGATAAAAGAGACACAGCTCAAGTGCTACAATTATCCTCTACTACCAAGGACAGTAAGGAATTATTACTTCAGTGTTTCTATTTGATAAAGACTTCAATCTTTCACTGCTGAACTCACGGTGGCTTCCATGTTAGTTGCTGCCTTGGGAAAAAGGCTATTGAAGGGTTACCCAGGTATCTGTGCAGAAAACCAACCTATCCTGGTCAAAGTAAACCAATGCCACTGATGTTTGTAGTCATTACACAGGAAACCACTATGCTAATCTATCTATGAATGAGCTATAAACACAGCTGCCTAAATGACAAAAGGCATTCAATACTAATTTATTGCTTTTGTTTGCCTTTTCCTTGATCTCTTTGTCCTGAACCCTGTGTTAGCAAAGCTTCTAAATGTTCCAACATAGGATACAAGTCACAAGTCAGACCTCTTAAACTGAACTTTGCCTCTTGGAAAGAAACAATATTGTTTTCCTCCGCATGTTGGCAAAAGCTCTATTATATACCCAGGGCAGGAGTCAGCATGTCTATGGAAAGCTATACATAACTGCGTAACTATAACTAGACAGTGTTATAACACCTGGTCTCCTTTTTATAGCAAGACATTTCTACAATGTTGACATTTCAAAGACATCAAAGAGTATTCTATAAAGGATCTTTCCCTGCCTTCTTTACCAACATTTCTTCAACTTCACTTAATTTAGGTAACATCTTGTGCAAACTCCACTCATTTTTTTTAAACTTACAAATGAAAATAATAAAAGAGATTACATAAAGTTAAAAATGTTTCAAAGATGTAAGAAAGAAAGTGAGGAAAGAGGAAGGCGGCTAATGTTGGTGGTTTACTTTACTTCCCATCAGGAAATAAACCGACTCAAGGTCATCTAACAAGACTTAGCTCCCCTAACCTTGTCTTGGTGTCATATCTTCTCAACATACTGATTTTGTTCAGGTAGATTAAAATGACACTATACGAATATGGCGTTTCAATGAATGTGTATATAAAACATTATTACCATTGGTTTGTTTTGACATCAACAAAACTGGGAAGGATGTACTCTATCAGCAGAGTGCTTCTCAATTTCATAGTCCTGTTATTTACTATTCAAAGTAGGGGGAGAAACTTCTTAAGGAACAAGTTGAAAGGACTAAATAAACCAGTCAGTCCTTTTAGGTCTACTCTCCATCTATCAGAATAAGACTGAACTAGCTGCCCATGGTCATGGATGCTGGGAGAATGCAAATAGAGATTTACCCTTTATATATGTTTATTCTTTTTACACCTGATAAAATTACAATAAATACAAAACATGTTTTAATGTAATGCTTTGATAACAGCAATGATGTGTCATGGATATATGATACAGTAAATATTGTGACTACTTGCAGCGAGCTTCTTAACTATTTGTGCTAATTCTCACTGGACTTAAAATGCTCTACACCAAACAAAAATGGAAAAAATGAAAACAGAATTTAACGAAGAACTTAACAAAAGCATTTTTAAAAATACATAAAGAGTGAAGAACTCTCATCTTGGATTAGCAACTATAGAAATGTAAATTTAACTTCTGTTTGTATGGAGTTGTTACCATAAATTCATAGCTCTGGTCAGAAAACCTCTCTGCCCAGATTCAATTTAACAGATATCCAAAAGTCAGCCAGGCCTTTCAAAGACAATGTTGTCATATGGTTGACATGCACACAGAATTAATCACAGGTGAACAAAATGGTTACTAAGCATGTGACCCTACCAATCAAGTGCCTTGCCTACATGTTTTCATCTACACATTCGGCCATCCTTTTCTTTTATGTTCTGTGAATTACGTTAACAGTGCCTATTCCTAAAATCAGGAACCGCATTTTTAATTCTGTAAGGGATATGGTTTAAGTCAGGCTGTCTATCTATGTGCCTGTAATGAAGTGGTTTGTGTGGCCTTCGGTACATAACATTTTCATAACAGTAGTTCTCAACTGTCCCCCACCCCCCGGGACATTTGGCAATGTCTGTGGACATTTGTGATTGTCATGATGGGATGAGGGGTGATACTGGCATCTAGTGGGTAGAAGTCAGGGATGCTACTAGATATTACACAGTGAATAGGACAGTCCCCCACAGTAAAGAATTATCTGACCCAAAATGTCAATGGGAAATGTCATATGTGAATGAAAATTAACATGGGAACGGTGTTTGACGCTCTAATGCTTCCAGTGCACAACCTTCTAGTTTTCTCACCCCACTAGCCCCACTATGCCTAGTCTTTGACCACATCAGACCTCCAGTTTTGAACCTTCTCCCAACTCATTGGTTCTCTCTTAGAATTCTTTAAAATTAAATAGGCATTTCTTATATGATTAAAAATAAATGTGGAATCACATTATATCGGTCATTTCTTTTACAGGTCTGTTTCTGTTTCCTTCGCCTCCTTATTCTTGGTACCCAGCACACTACCTGATATGGAAAAGTTACTCTCTGTTGGTTGAATTAATAAAGGAAGCAAGGGGAAAAGAGGCAAACAGAGGTGTTTCTATGAAAGTTCTTGACAGAACAAAAATGAAATCTTGCCCAAATAAGCTGAGGGTTCATAAGTGATATTCATGAGACAAGCAGGCTCTGTTTGTAGTTATAACTTAAGCCGTCTAGTCAGGGTTCCTCTCTCATCTCTTACCTATGGGTCCACAAGCCACTCCTGAGTAAAAGGCCCTTGAGTGCGGCTGGCAAGGGTTCATGCTGGCTCTGGACTTTGGAATTGATTCCTGAAACTCTACTAAATTTTATTCACTTCAAGGAACATAGTCCAATAACATAATCCAAAATAAAAAGTAATTTCTAAAACAAAATTATATATAATAATAATAAAATAGTGGAAAATTCAGAAACAAACCTAAATAGGATAATGACAAAACAAACAATATAAGCCATACTGAATAACAAATTTGTGGACTATGTTGATTTTTGGACATTTTTGAATGAAGTAATGTCAACATGAAAAGAGACCACAAAACAATTTACACACTGATTATACCAACTATATGTACAAATATGAGTTTTAAAGATAGGAAGAGAATCAGGAGTGATGGTTTCATTTTTCCCTAGAGTTAAAGATCATAGACTTTTTTTTTAAGAAGGAGGAAAACAGGAAATATAAAACACCAGCAGGTTATCAAGCTGTACTTCATTAAGTAAAGCATATCATAGTCTTTATGCTTCACTCACTAAAGCCTCTTTATCTTTTAAAATATTTGGTGATGCTGACAGGTAAGGTGTTCAGGCAGGAGCTTGGGGAGAAAACCATCTTAGTTGCTTTTCTCAATGTGAACAGGAAAAGGCAATGTAAGTTGTACCCCTGGAACTGAAAGGCAAAGCCTTGTACAGCACACTCACCAAGGATCACTGGTTTATACCACCATATTTACAGCTTTACAGAGCAATTTCCTCATAACAAGACATACACTAATATTAGAACTGTCTTTAGCTTTTCTGGTTGAGGACCTGCTCCAGCACGTGAACATCTACCTGGGACCATCCTTCACTTGCACTGTACATCAGATGATGACAGAGACAGGCTGCGCACAGCCAGGGCACGCTAAGAACTTACCCCAACATCATCATCGCTCTGTATCAGTTGTGAGTGTCCAAACAGGCGTCTCTTCAATATGGGCTCAACCAGCGTAAGATACACCATGTACAGAAGTAAGAGGCCCAAAATGGAGAGATAAATTATAATGGTAACCTACAGGAAATTGAAGATAAGTTGCATCTCTGTTCAAGCCAAGGAATCAGAATTTTGTATAATAATGTGAAAACCATAGTGAAGACTGCTCTATCTGTTAAGCATACAGGGTTTTTATACAAACCAGATTCCAACATAAGAAACAAACTCAACTCTTCACCAAAGTATTACTTATAGAAAAAGAGTAAAGAAAGCATTTTGTCTTTGGGATCTTTTCACAAGTCCTCAAAATTTCATCTTCACCTACTGCTAATCATTTTTCATCACTGCTAGCACAGCAGTTTTCTTTTTTCACCTGAAAACAGTGTCCTGGATTCAACAGCACTGCTGTCAGACCACTTACAGGAACCCTAACAGAAAATGTAATTCAGATGAATTTTAACAGGACACTGTTTTAGATCAATTTAGACATACAAAAATACATTTTTAGGCAAATGATTTTCTTGAGATCTTATTCATGTGGTATCAAGCAGTAGAGTGTGACACCTCCCACTAGAATGGCTACAATTAAAGACAGACAATACCAAACGTTAGTGAGGATGTAGAGAAACTGAACCTTCATACAGTGCTGGTGAGACTGTAAAATGGTATAACTACTTTAGAAAACAATCTGGGAGTCACTTAAAAAGTTAAACATAAACTTACCTCTCTAAGGAATCTACCCAAGAGAAAGGAAAACATATATCCACGCAAAGATATGTACACAGATATTCGTGACAGCATTATTCATAAAAGTAAAAATCTGGAAATAATCCAAGTACCTATCAACAGATGAATGAATAAACGAAATGTGGTATATTCCTATAATAGAATGCTATTCAGTAATAAAAAGGAATGAAGTACTGACACATGCTACAACATGGATAAACCTCAAAAACATGCTGTGGAAAGAAACCAGTCACAGAAGACCACATATTGTGATTCCATTTATATGAAATGTCCAGATCTGTAGAGACACAAAGCAGAATAGTGACTATCTAGGGCTGGAGGTGGGAATGGGATTAACTGTAATGGGCAGGAGGGATCTTTCTGGGGTGACTGGAATGCTCTAAAACTGGATTTTTAAAAATTGTTTTAAATTTTCTAAAATTTATAAAATTGTACACTTATAATGAGTCACATTTGGGGTATGTAAATTATACATAAAATTTTTGTTAAAAAATTAAAAAGTAATATAATGATTTCTCTACAGGACAGCACTCTGCTGGAGCAAGAACTCTCCCACAGGGTCAGTCACAACAGGAATCTTTGTAATTGGACCATCCCAGATTCCCCAAGGCCTCTTTTGGGGAGAAGGATGGGAAGCTTCATATTAAAAAAAATTGGGGAGAAGAACTGTTGGCCACTGTAAGTAAAGTAACTGAACTCATTAGAAGTCCAAATTGTCATGAGAGTGGATCTACGTTCCATTTCCTATAAGAGACAAAGACAGGAAATCTTAAAATCCAGAAGTGATGTTTCTAGAGTGGTCCCTATACATATCGTTTTTTATAAGGAGTGAGAGGGCAGGAAGAGGAGGATCTAACCATACTGCTTTCTCACTACTCTTCGGCATATGTGACCCACAGAGAACGTGGAATATCTTTCTGGAAAAAGCTAATTTCACACAGGGCTTGTTTTGTGCCATTTCACGTCTATCTAAGGTGTCCTAACTAATCCACAGAACATCTCAATGAGGCAGAATGAGAGCAAGCCTGTTTCTGCTTTTAGGGTGGGGGCTGGGGATGAGGAAGGAGGAGGTGAGAGGGTGGTAGAGAAGAGGGAAGAGGAATAGTTTAGGTAACAAAAATAGAATTCAGATGTCCAAAATTTTCTTTCTTGTCTAGATACCATTAAGCAGAAGCAGAAAAGATATATATGTATATTTTTTACCTTGATCGTAACAGAACTTCTTTCCTCATATTTGCACTCACAGCGTAGACAGTATGCTTCTATGTCAGGCCCCCGCACAGGCATGGGGTCTACCACATGAAGGCAATCGCTGAAAAAAACAAAGATAAAATACTGCCTAAGCCTAGTTGGATTTTCTACTCACACTAATCAACCCATTCCTGAAACCCAGAATAATCATTGAACTTACCCAACGAAAGAATATAAGGAGCAAATAATCAGTAAGGGAAGTGAAATCAATTCCTCTCTCGATATTAGCAATTTGGTTAAGATTTAACAGTCTAAGAAACTATAAAGACACACATGTCACAGCTATTTTTTCAAAAGTGCTATTTATGGTTAAAAAATGCACCTGAAAAAATCCCAAATGGGATTTACTACTTAGTAGATCAGGTCATATTTAGACATTTTATTTATCAAGTAAAACTGCTTTAAATGATTTAAAGTGACCTGGAGCATTGTTCAAATATGAGATTACCTCTTTTATGAATTAACTAACATCATCTTAACTGCCAAAGTGTGGTATATGAAGGGCTAATTATAACTAACAGTTGGTAAATTATGAAATGCTGAAAACTGAACACCAGAGCAAGAAACAATTCCTTTTCTTAATGAGCAAAAGTCTTTAAAAAGCATGGAGAAGTAGGATTAGGACAACAAAAGTATTTTAAAATGAAAACTGATTACCTGGAAACAATATATAAAAATAATAGAAGGCTAAATGTTTTTGTTGTTGGATTTTGTTTATTTTCCCCCCATTTTCCAGGCCACTTATTTATAGGTTATGAAAAACCAAATCTATCCAAAAATCTCTTCCCATAAATCTGTCAATTCTAGGGAATAATTAAATTCTCATTCTCCCGAGCTATTAAGAGCCTATGACTCTAATCACCTTCAGAAAAGAAGGCAAATCTTTTCCTGTCCTTCTGCCAGCTGCTGGGCAATTTTCTTCCCTTTCGTAATCTCTTCCAGGCATTTCTAGCTGCCTCAAGGACTCTACTATAGCCTTCTGTCTTACTCCAACTACTTTCTTGGGGGCGCCCGATGCTCCAGGCTGATTCTTTCCCTTTGCCTTATCAGAACATAGTTTTTCACTCATAGACATAGAGTACAAACTTGTGGTTGCCAAGTGGGTGGGGGGTGAGAAGGGATAGACTGGGAGTTCAAAATTTGTAGATACTGACAGACATATGCAGATTAGATAAACCAGATTATACTGTATAGCCCAGGGAAATATATACAAGATCTTGTGGTAGCTCACAGTGAAAAAAAATGTGACAATGAATATATGTATCTTCATGTATAACTGAAAAATTGTGCTCTACACTGGAATTTGACACAACATTGTAAAATGACTATAACTCAATAAAAAATGTTAAAAAAAAAAAAGAACATAGTTTTTCATTTTCTGTTCCCTCTTAGCTATGGCATAAGGAAGAAAACCCAAAATAGCATAAGTGATAAACATTCAGTCAGTTTGCCTTAACAGATAATTTAATTTTAACAAAAGTAGTAATGAAAAAAAAAAAGTCTCGACTGGCAGAATTTCAATTAAGAATTCTCACAACTCACACCATACAAGTGTGTGATATTTGTTCCAAACATATAGAAGACCAGGAGTGCATCCAGCTGGATGCTGGCATAAAATAGGCAGAGGAAGCAAAATCCCATTGCAGGGGCACCTATCTCAGAATCACAGCAGTCATCCAGCCCAGCACTCTCAGACAGGGTCACCTACACAAGGTCATAGAGTAAATTAGTAGCTAAAAGGGCCAGAATTCAGGGCTCCTGCCTCCTAGGACAGCTGCCCTTTATCTCTCTGAACCTCAGGAAAATGAAACTTCTCTCCTATTTAGTTTCCCATGTCAGCTTCAAAAGCCTTAGGAATAATACCTAAGAATTACTTGAGAATCTAAGTGTTGAGTATTTAGTGCTTCCTTTGAAGTACAAATACAGTTTAATAGCAAGGACTTTGAGCACTGTGCAGAGTGGGAGAGGAAGCAGGAAGGTTGGCTCTGGCCGGCCAGTCACTGTAAACACCAAACCCAGAACTCAAGCACTTTGGTAACTAGGCAACACCTCCCCCTAGTGGCAAAAGGAGGACATTATCAGCTCTAAATCATACCCTAAACATAAACTAGAGAACTCAAACTTTTCTAAAGTTAGACAGCATAAGTCAATGAAGAATTAAAGCTAACAACTGGACACAATGGGGGCCAGAAGGTAAAAATACACCTAGGGTCAGACAGATACTGGACACCTCGTAAAGCCATAATTATCTCGATTAGTCATAACGCACCTACCCTTCTAAAGCCAGTTAAAAACTTGCAGGGGCATCTGTGAACCTATTCCCAATAAAAGGCTAAGCTGCAGGAAGGATGCAAGGGAGAGAGGGAAGAAGAGTCCCAAAAGAAGCCTTGATTTCAACTGTTTATTTTCAAAGCTCCCTATTTTCACCAGTAACCAAGAATAATTGATATACGGTTCTCTGTGAGCCTTGAATAAAAGTTAGTGAAAAGATTAGTGTTAAACACCTGAATAGTGAGTTCATTTGCCACCCTAAGTAACAGACATCATATTGTATTACTGATAATACAACAAACTGATTCTAAGTGCTCAATATATTTGAGAAATTTATAGAAATAACTTATTTGAGCTTTCTTTTCATATAAAGTAACTTGCTGACAGAAAACCTGTAGGAAAAGCTAAATCACTTTGTAATACGAGACAATTTAAAGTGGAACACAGACACTCATAAGAAATTCTCAAGAACACACTTATCAAATACCAGACTGAGCCTAAATGCATATCATGGCAGGAGCAGACAATGGCATCAGAAAAGCTAAACATTTTCAAAGGCTGCCTTTTCTTTTTCAAAATGAGCTTGGAATACTGTAACCAAATGAATTTAATTCTGCTTCCAAACATTTGAGGCTATTTAGCTATGAAATCAGGCATACGTGAAAGTACATAATATTTGGAGTTATTTTTCTTCTATGCCTATCCTGGCAATCTTCCATTATGAACCATAAAACACTCCAGTCCACGGGCAGGAGCCCATCCATCCTGCTACAAAACAACTGCTTCCCAATCATTTTATGGCACATGCAGAAAAAGCTATCATTTGTAAGGTCCACTGGGATAAACAGAGAAGGCTGCTTGTGGCGAGCCAGTCAGGATCCCAGTCATCACAGGGCTGCCTGATGATGCCAAGGGCTGAAGGGATCAGTATCTTGGCACACCTATAACCTGCTCGTGGTGCACCAATTGGTACACACTGATATTCATGGCTCAATCCCATTCCTTCTGGAGCCCTTTGAGACTTTTAAACATAGTCTCCTATATTTGGCAATATATCATCAAAACCTTCAAGCTGTAAAAATTATAACCCAGATAAATGAGGTTTGCTTACCTTCCACTGAGAAGCAAGAAGGAGGACCAAAATTTACGGGGACACAGGAAGGTAGGTATGGGAATTTCAGGTGCCACAAACTCAGCCCCATCCCCATGAAAAACCTTCCCTGCTTGGGGCTTGGTGTTTTGACATTTCTTTAGGCTTCTATCATGCACTGAAGGCGTTATTCTTAATTTTTCAAATGGAAATAGAATTCAACACCTTTGCTTAAAAAGAAATACTACAGAAAACAATACATTGGATGAATATTATGGGCTAACAGTGACAACCAAAGAAAGAAATTTGACAGGTAATTCAGTTATCTAGAATACTTACCAATCTTTCTGGGATATGTTCTTATTATAAATACTCCCAGGAGTATCTTTATAGGGAGGACAGATACATTTACATCGGACATCATCGAAATTCTGTAACCAAAATGAAAACTTGGTATAGCTTGTTGATAGTTTATCATAAGTATTTTAAAGAATTGCAACATACACATTTTGCTAAGCATCACCTGCCAAGTAGTCTAAAACCATTCATTTAAAATTTTAAATCACTTTGAGAGATACAAGTTTTTAAAAGCCATTGGTAATGTGAATGAATCATTATATATTACCTAAAATTAACTTTGAAATAAAACCTAGCACATGATCTGTGACTCATTAATCACATTTATCGGTCACACAATAGTCAAACTGTGCCAAAGTTATCATCATCTACTTGCCAGTAGAAAGACACAGTAAACACATAGCTGTGCCTGCAAATAAGAATGCTGATTATAGAAGGATGGGGAAATATCAAACTAAAAGTTACAGAGGAAGTCATAATTATCCTACCCACTATCCTTCCACCCTTTGGCAGAAAGGCATTGATATGGATAAAATGGGCTGGGCCAGAGTCCTATAGAAGGGATGAGGTTTTAGAGGCACCCAGCACAATTAGAAAGGAAGATCATAAGGAAGTAGCTTGAGTGTAGCCAAGTTCAGTTTGGTCTACCCTTCCCCGGAAACTGCTTCTAATCTTGGGGGACAGAAAGGACAACTACTGATAAAGCAAGTTTCAAGAGGTGGAGGAAGAAGTGACTAAATGTATGACTAGAAGGGTAGGAGATGCTTCCTCAGCAAAAGGGAATTCTAATCTGAGAAGGTAGTGGCTCTTTAGTTCCCAGAGGACCAAGCCCAAAGCTTCTATATTTAGTGGTATGCCTAGCAGAGTTGTTGAGAATTCACTTATTCATTCAGCAGCTACTTAGTGAGCATTTGTCCTGTGCCAGAACTGGTGTTAAATGAGGTGGATTCAGATAAGCGTAAGAGATGGTTCCTGCCTGTAATGAGGACACACCTAAGTAAAGGAGACTGACAAATACACGGTTACAGTACACCACTTAAAGCGATGACAGCAGATATGCAGAGTGCGCCAGCAATGTTTTGAAAGTCAGGAGACTTGCTGCTGTCCCTGTTTCTGGTGGGAGGTAGGGAAGATTTCAAAAATAACTCCTGATCAAAACCCTCTGAACCTGTATGCTTGTCACCCATCTTTCCCAGTCCCTATATTTAAAGCTGTTATAGATTAAAGCTTCTGTTTTTAAAATATGCAAATGCCATTGCTGTCCCATCACATTAATGTGAATGCCTTCTGTTTCCCCCAATAATGAGCTAGCTCATCAGGAGGAAGCACAGGGCAGGTCTGAAGGGTATGGGCATGAAGGGGACTAGAGAGCAGCGCCAGGGGACTGAAGGGCCAAGAAATGGAGCAGGGGAGAAGGCCACAATCTTACCTCTCCAGTAGTTTGCATCCTCCCTGACTCACTAAATAATCAAAAAGAGAGAAGGCAAGAAAGGGTCTAGGAGGTCCTCGAGGGAGTTAGGTGAGTATATTAGGCTGGTGTGAGAAACTCTGTAGGTCCTATTAAGAAGGAAGGCTGCCGGGAGAAGCAAGTTCCCACAGTGGGAAGGGAGGAGTTGAGGGTAACGTTAGTTCCTAAGAGGTAAGACATCTATGAGATGGGGGTTTCCTATCATTTTGGCTTGGGGAATAGGGTGGCGGTTGGTCTATGAGGCTGGTGGAGGGCGGCGGTAGACCGTCAGAGCTTAAGGGCGGAAAGTTAAAGGCTCTCAGAGTTGGAAAGGCTGTAAAGTTTGAGGTGGGTGCTGTCGGGGCTGGGGAGGGAAATGTGAAGGAGGCAGAGACGCTGTTCCGGCGGTGGGCACCGTCCGGGCCGGGTGGAGCTGGCGGGGCGGGGGGCGGGCTGTCAGGGACTGGCGTGGGGTCGGGGGTCGGGGCGGGGACTGTCAGCCTGTCGGGGCCGGAGGGCGGGATGCTACCCGGCAGTCCGGAGGGTTACAGCTGGGGGGCTCTGCCAGGGCTGTGAAGCTAAGGGTCGGGCTGCCAGGGCTGGGAGAGGGCTGGGGTGGGGCGCAGATGGACAAGGACGGAAGCAGGGAAGGAGCTCCGGTTCTGAGCGAAGGCTGGGCGGGACTCACCTTGGCCGCGTCTGACAGCTGCACCAGCAGCAGCACGGAGAGCGCCAGGCAAGACAGGCTGAGCATGGAGCCAAGACGAAGGAGGCCTGCCCACAGGGTCGCCATCGCTGCCAGGCCCAGCAGTCCCCACAGCCCGGAGCCCCGGAGACCTGCTCCCGGCCGGGCTCCGGCTCGGGCTCCTCCGCCCGCACTTCCGTCTGGGCCTTCGCGTCACGGGCCGCGCGGGGTCAACTACGAAACGCATTCACCCCGGAAGCGGTTCCCGGTGCCAAAGACCCCGAGGCTGCGCGGTGCCTACGCTCGGGCCCCAGAAGGGAAGGCAGCCCCTCTGCGGGGCAGCCTGGGCCCAGCAGTGCTTGGGGGCGCTAGCGTATCTTCCCCGGGCACAGAAGCAGCGGCGCTGTGGACCCCAGTGCTCTGGGAAGTCCTCCCACCAGGGAGACCCCCACCCCGGCCCAGCAAGCCCTGGATTTCAGATGTGGGTCCCGAGTGACCCCTGCGAGGCCGGAGCGGTTGGCTGCTGCCTGGAGGCCGGAGTGAGCCTAAGCCCCAGGAATTGCTGAGAGGCGGCCCATCCTGGCGGGCGCAGGCGGGGCGAGTGCTGGGCATGGGGGCCGAGCCATCCCTTCCCTGGAAGCCCACCCCCCGTCAGGCGGTCAGGGGCCGTCTCTGGCACTTTGGGTGCTGACCTGCGGCCCACGGGCCTCCTGGACACCGGGCCCCGCGAGGTTTCTAACGATCTGTGAGCTGCCTTCGTGGGTGTGGCCTCGGTTTGAGGCGCCGCGCTTGCATTCCGCTGGCGGCTGACCGCCTAGGCCCAGCCTGTCGCCGAGAAATGGGTCACAGCGGAGGCCCAGGCTTCGGAAGGTGTGGAGTTGGCGAAAGAACCAACTCTTTCCGGTAGCCTCCTCCGCCCAGGATTCCAGAAGGTGGAAGATCGTAGCGCTACAATCCTGTTTAGGGCGACTGGTCCCAAAGTCATAATTGGGGGAGCACTGACCGATCTTTCCCAGAGATGTCATCCAACGCAGGTAACTTAGGAGAACCCTAGAGATGGCACAATGTCTCCAATTAAAATATTTTTCAGTTAGTAGAGACAGTAGGAGGTAGTGGAAAGGCTGCAGGGGCTCATCACAACCTCTGCGGATTTGTTGAATCACCTTGGATTTGTTGAATCACCTTGGTCCAAACACTTCCCTTTTCTGGGCCTCTGGTTCTTGGCTCAATAAAAGGGGATTGAACTTTTATCTATGGATTCCAAATTCTGCATTCATGGAATATCCGTGTCTCTTCCTCTAAACAAAACTTAAATGTGGTCTTTTCCTAACAGAATTTTCTCAGTATGTTTCTCCCATGTGATCCTTGTTGATGCTAAACTCTAAAATAAGAAGGTATCTGATATTACACCAAATTTATTTAGACCCTTTCAGTCCCAAATGGCAAGTGGCGCTCAGTCCCAACCAGAACCAGAGTGGCAGGACTAGATGACCTTTCACCAAGGCCCCTCCAGGCTTCCCTGAGAAGATGCTGTCACATTAATTATCAGGTTTTCTTAGTGGGTGTCCTGCTGGCCTGAAGGCAGTCTAGAGACACCGGGGGTCAAATGTGTCTGACTATGAGGTACTTGTGGATCTGCAATTGCTAAAAGCTGTCTCATTAGCAAGTCTGGGATCAGTTTTGAGTTAATCGTCTAGGTCTGGCATCTGAAGGAGTGCTCACTCTTTGGCTGAAACCTCATAGGCCTTCCCTTCTTCAAAATTCTTCTAAGGGCCTTGATTGGGGGTACAGAGACTTAGAGGAAATATATAGTAATGCTTCACCAAGTATTCTAAGTCTGGGCAGAATTATAGTTACACTGTCCAACATGGTAGTTACTAGCCACATGGGGCGGTTGAGCACTTGAAATGTGGCTGGTCTGAATTGAGATATGCTGTAAGTATAAAATATACACTGGATTTCAAAGACAATGCAGAAGACATAAAATATCTCAATAATGTTTTTATATTAAGGTTGAAATCTTTTGGATACATTAGGTTAAATAAAATATGTTATTAAAATAATTTCGCTTGTTTCTTTTTACTTCTTAGATGTAGCTACTGGAAAATTTAGTATTTATATTAGGCATAGCTATTCTAGAATACAGGATGAGACTGCCACGAGTGGAGTGTTACCGTAAGATGGTTGCCTGGCTGGAGTCTTAGTGAAGACACAGGCGTGGTAAGGAGAGGGGTGACAAATTGGCACAGCTACAGCCAGGGGTTTGTGGGGGAATACATTGCTAAACAATATAATTCTAGGTGATTCAGTGGAAGTAGAGGCATCAGTTCTTGTTCTGCCCGCTCACACCTGGGTAACTCTTACTTCCCCTTAGGTCAGGGGTCTTCTAAACTAGAAAGCCTTCCCTGACTTAGGTGCACTTTCTTCTGTTTGTACAGATCTCTTTCCTAACTTAACCCATTATGATAAAATTATCTTTTCATATCTGCCTCCATACTCCCAACCTCTACCAAAATATTTTAAACACTTTGAGAGCAAGGGCCTTGTTTATTATCTTTGTACCTGGAGACTGGGCTAGAGTAAAAACCAATAGAAGTTTGTGGGGACCTGGAAAAGGGAAATTGGAGAGGCTCCTCTTGTTAGTCTCCAAGAATCAGGTATTGAATCCCTACTTCATTCCTCTCTGACCATCAGAGGGCAATGCTGAGATGCCCAAAGAAGTGCAGATGGGATCTGGGCACCATAGTAGGCAGGAGGGGAGAATTCTGACCTAGGGTATTCGCAGACCTTCAGGTCACATCAGAGTTGTTCTATTTACAAGGCAAGACTGAGTACCCACTCTTTTCCTTGCTTCCCTATGATTAGGTTCCCTACTCTATTCCACTTAAGGAATGACAGTTCCAGGTGCACCTTCCCGCCAGGCCTGAGCCCTCTCACTTCTTTGTTAAGGCCTGTAAAATTCTCTAGTGGGGCATGGTCAGGAAAGTAAGAGGAGCCTTCTCTAAATATAAGTGTGGAAGTCAGAAGGTTAGGAAGCAGAAGTGACAATTTATGCATCTGGGACAAATGTATGAGTCCGAGGTTTTTCTAGCTCTGTCTGCAGTCCCTCACCCCCTTGCCTCTCCAGTGCTCAGATAGCTCTCTGGACACTGCTTTCTTAGATCTCCACCTCATTCTTTCTGATCTACTCAGCAGTTGCCCAGGCCGCAGCAGTCCAGGAGAACAAATGGAATCATGCGCAGCGTCAGTGATGATGGTTTCCTTGGATTGTGTCTCCAGTGGTTACAGCAGGACACACACACTCACCCAGAAGTTCTTCTAGTTATTTCTGAGCATACCCTGGAAATGTCTCAGAGGAGCCCTCTTCTTTACCATGTGCATCAGCAGGATGCTCCCTCCTACTTAGCCCCCTTTAGTGAGATTTTCTGCCTTCCCCCACCCCCCGCTGCTACCTGTAGAGCCACATAAGTATGGTATGCCATCACTTGCTGGCTCCCACCATGGTAACAAGGTATGAGTCCAGAATGTTCTCTCTGTTCCTAGAGATGCTGGTATCAGCGAGAGCTGACATAAAATAAAGCAATACAAGGTTTAGTACCAAAGCAGGGAGAATTTTTAAAGTTTCTTTCAGAAGGCTGCTAAATCAGTATTCTTTCCCAGTATCTTATGTCTTACAATACCCAAGGAAAACATTTCCTCCTCTCTGACTGCTAGCATTTTCAAATAAATGAGATAGTTTTACTTGCCATTTTTACCAATACGGTACCTTAAAAAAAAATCAACTGGCATTTCACAGCATACCCTGCCGCAACCCTCTACACTGCGAATTTCTACTCCCCAGAGACAACTTCTTTCTTATCTTTTAGTTATCTCTTCTAGGATTTATCTCCATATTTCTTAATAATATGCTTATACTACTAGTTCTTGATTTTTCAGTTTGGGCTATTATTTTACTTCTTGCTATAGGAAATAAGCTATGTATTTATATTCTGATGCCCTCTGATAAACACATGTATTATTTCTCCATCCTCCATCCTTCAGTATATCTGTATCATCTTACTTAGGTAAATTACTATTCCTTACATTATTATGACTGTGTACATATTATTTATAGTTGGTCCAATCAGCATAATATGATTTCATTTCCTTTTTTTAACTGAAGTTAGCCATTGCCTCTTTTTCCATGTTTCTTAAGTATTTTGCATTCAAGTATCTATAATTTATCTCAAACTCTCCTCTCAATACATTCAAACACATCAGGGGGGCTATCAGTTTATTTTTTAAATTAAAGACAACTTTCCCAGGGTCCATCATCCTCCTGCACTCTAGACGGGTTATTCTCTAAGCCCACTGCACAGGTTTTGTCCTGGAATAATTTTATCATTTCATCCCCATTTCTACTTCTTTGGTTTTTTCTGAAAGATTGCTATCATCCCACCTTTCTTTTGAATTTTCACATTTCTGTTACTGTGTTTTTAATCTTCTAGAGCACTTTCCTGACCACCCCTCTCTCCTTTTTAAATGGCATTCCGTTCCATCTGGGAATACAGTATCTTATTTCTCTGAGGATATTTCTAATGTTTTGTTTCTTGAATTGTCTATGTTGAGTTTTTCAGCCTTTGTTTCGGTTTTTTTGTGTGAGAAGCTTTTCTTAAATGTCTGGAGATCCTTGGCTATTCATTTATATGGCAGAGGGAGGCATTAGAAAACTGATTGGAAGCTTTGTGAACACAGACAGGGCTTGTAATTAGTAGGACACACTGAAGTATTTTTCAAACTTCTGGTTGCAAACCCATTACTGGTTTGTGAAATCAATTTAATCACCTGCAAGCAACTTTTTTTCCCCAAATGACAGAGTAGAACAGAAAATACTGTATCAGACTCACACATAAAAAGGAGATTGTTTTGTGAACCTTTGCTTTCACAGATTCACACATATACATCATAAATATATATATTTATAAAATGAGAATTTCTTATTGTGGGAGTTGTCTCAAAGGAGTTTGAAAAAAAATACCATAGGGTATTCTAGGAGGTTTCCAACTGTCAAGATAGGTAGTTTTTTTCTTTTGGAAGGAGAAGTAGGTTTCTCTGGAGAAAAATTCTCTAAACTCCTGCCATCTGGTCTGGTAGCCAGTGTTCAATCAAGTGTTTTCTGAGCACTTACTTTGTGCCAAACACTCTTCTAGGTACTTGGTGCACATCAGTGTGTAAACAGACAAAACTTTCTGCCCTCTTGGAAACTGACACTCCAATCGAGGAGACAAAACAATAAGCACAGTAAGTTGTACAGAATTTAGGTATTGCGCTGTGGTAACACGGTAACAGGACGGAAAGCTGAACACATGCAAGAGGGGAGATGTGTTAGGAGTGGTGAACGTTCTGGTTATTTCGTGAATGAAGTAGAAAGCAAGGCCATCATCTGAGAGTGAGAATGGGGAAGGCAGTGTTAGGGGCTGGAGAAGAAAAGAGAAGGTGTGAAATAACTTAGGAACACAGCCCAGCAAACTACACCCCATGGCCAAATCCTGTTTTTGTACTGTCTGCAAGGTAAGAATAATTTTTATACTTTTAAATGGTTGGGAAAGAAAAACTAAAGATGAATACTAAATTCTGACATGTAAAAATTATACAAAATTCAAATTGAATTCATTTACATACTGCCTTTGGCTACTTTCCTATTACAGTGGCAAAGTAGAGTACTTGTGAAAAAGACTACGTGACCTGAAAAACCTGAGATCCTTACCATCTGGCCATTTGCAGAAAACGTTTGCCGACCCCTGACCTAGACTAGGAAGGTGAATGATTAGGGAGATATGATTGTTGGGCAGTGTTGACGGCCTGAGAGTTATGGTCTTGGATTTAAAGTGAGACCAGTCAGCATGGCTGGGGCATAGGTGTAGGCAAAGAGTTGGCTTTGACTACATTGACCACAGTTGTGGTCTTGTGAAGTGAGTGCAACAAAAAGAGAGGGTAAACTGAACTGAAAGTATATGCAAGGGAATCATTACAACTACTGACCAAGGAATTTAAGTTGGTTATGAAGGGAGGAGAGGAACTCAGAGACATTAGGGACAGTGAGGTGATAAGCAAGGGAGTGCTGGAATCAGGTTGCCACGAGATGGCTGGAAGACAGTGCCAGTGGTCAGACAGTCAGACACGTGAGCCTGAGATCATGGAGGGGTTCCCGTTTTGGGTAATAAATAACAAGATCTAAGATATGACCCTGGGAGAGAATAGCAGGGAATGGTGGAGGATAAAATCAGTAGAAGACTGTTTTTCAAGTAATCGGTATGTCAGGGGCTGAATATAATTAAATCACCAAGAATTAAATCTGGAGTAGTGTTGAGGGGAGTGAAAGGAGCCAAGAGCTAAACTTACTGGGAAAAGAGTGGGGATGACCCAAGGGCTTGTAGATTTCATAGATATAGCAACAACGAAGGGATGTAAGTGATATAATTTGATGGCATGAGACTCAAAGCTGGGGAGTTTTAAGGGAAGGCAGAGGGAGAAATGTCTGCAAGCAGTAATGAAGAACAAGGGGACGATCTGCCCCCATCGCTAGGACCAGTAATAGAACTGGGGGAGAAAAAGCCACCTTGAGAGGGCTGCAATGAAAGCACTGTCCTAAGAGAACAGCCATGTGTCAAGGTTCTGGGATCTAAGTCAGGGAAAGAGCACCCTAAATCCCTATTTTCAGTAGGATGCCTCCTCTCAGCTGCCAGTTGTTCTTGGTGGCTCCAACTAGTTCAGTTTCTCCAGGGGATAAACACACGAACAAGGGGTGAGGATCTCAGGCCTAACTTACTTTATAGTCTTTCAAGTAATCATCCTGTTTTGTAGCCCTCTACCCTTACCACTAGCTTTTCAGATAACCGCTGTCCTCAATTCCTCAATCTTTTCTGGGGTTGTGTGGCACACGTCTGCATGTTTATTATTATTATTGCCTCCCACTGACTGCCACCTCCTGAACTTAGTTTTCTGCTTTCTCTGGTCTGCTCCATCAGTTGTTACTTGTCTTTTGTGTTCTAGCTTCAAAGATTTCACTGACATTGCTTGGGTGCTGTTGTATTTTCTCCCATTTTCTTTGTCCTCATTGGTTTATGTCATTTAACATTCCTTTACTGTCATTTTAGTGAGGTTTCAGTAGGGAGCTAAATTTCCGGTCCACCATTTTTAATAAGATGTTGTCAACAAGAGTTTTGTTATGGGGCCAAATGTGTCTGCCTGGCTTGCTCTTCCCAGGAAGCTTCTGAGTCCCTTAAACACATGGGTTCTGACTGGCCCACTTTCCAGGCTTCTAGTATACACGGACAGATCTGAATCCCGGTGGTGGAGTCAACTCAGGCTGATGTTGGGATTCCCACCCATTTTCCCTTCCCTTTAATTGTCAGTCTTTTCAATTCCTGGCCTTCTCCTTTCCTGCTAATACAAGCTTTTATTTCTGAAATTCTACTCTCCATGGGGCCTACCCAGCTGGATCTTCCTCTCTGGCTGCACTTCTTCAGATCTTAGAACATACACTCCTGTGATCAAACTGGTCTTTATGAAACCTGTTCACTTTAATAGACTTTCTATTCCCCAAATGGTTCCTGTATACAACAGAGAAACTATTGTGAACTCAGACACGTGGGGGATAGTTTCTGTAGAACTTTCAAAACAGAGTAATTGCTTCCTCATATGGTCAGCCCTAGAAACAATCAAATTCTCATGTCCTTACCCATTTTCAGAATAAGTAAGATGAAAACCACTACAGCAGCCTCCCAAGTATAAGGTCATCCAGTGCATCCTAGGAGTCCAGCACTTCAGAATCCCAAGATATCCCATATTAGTTTGCCAAATGATGAAAGCAAAGTTAAATTAATGTTAACCAGGCTCACAGGACAGAAGATTATATGTCCCCACTCCCTTCGTCCTCAAAGTCTCTCCTCTGGCAAACACAAGTATCTCTACTAGATCAATCACACTCCTCTCCCCAACCCATTTCTCCTGTTCAAGGCAACTGGCAAAGTTTGGGTATGTCAACATTGGAGTATGTGGAGAATTAGGCTTTCAGTATTAATTACAAATTGGGAGCCTACTCTGGCTCCAGTAAAAACGTTGCAAGGATTTCCCCTCTCTGATTTTGGTGGCTGGAGTTTGTTGGGAAGGGACACAGGTCCAGGAAAGAGTGTGATAAAGGTGCTAGAAAGGAAAGAACAGGGCTTGTAGTCATCAGGCTGATAGAACCTTTGGATAAGTAACTACCTAAAAGCAGGTAAAGATCCAGCCTTTTCTCCATTCTGGTCAGGCACCTGGCAGCCCCAGTCTTCTGGAACATACCACAACCCTTGAATAAAAAGGTCTTTGAGAAAACAGCTGTCACAATGCCCACATGCTTAACATCATGTGAGAAACAGCTGCCAGTAGGTCATTGGCCAGACAAGTAAGGATAAAATAAGAGAGTAGCATAGCTCAGGAAGCACTGATAGTGGAAGGAAGAAGTAGCAGCTGACAGAGGGGTCCAAGCTATAACACAGAGACTAGCTTGTCTCTGCTTTTTGATTTCTTGAGAACAAGAGCCTGCCACTCTTCAAAGCTAGAAAAAAAGCTCTTAATTTCAGTCCTGATTGAGTCTATGTTTGTCGTGATGGCAACGAGTCAAAAAGAAACATTTGATTCACAATGCCATTTAATAAAGATGTCCTAGAATCAAAGAATTTTGACATTAGAAATGACTTCAGAAGTCTCCTTATCCAACCTTCCACGCAATGCAAAGTCTCTCTCGAATACTGCTAGGAAATGATCATCCCACCTTTCACCTCCAGTTAAAGAGAATTTGAGACAGTCCATGTAATTGTGCTAAATAGTTGTCTTGATACTACTCTGAGCCTTAGCTTTTCCGTCTGTAAAATTAAGAACAATACTACCTTCTTTGCAGGAGTTAGTATAGTCCCTGGTTTAAAGCAGATGCTTCCCTCCAACCGAGTCAGGACATGCCCCTCTTCAACCTCCGTCTATTGGAAAAGCTTGCCTTCTGATGCCAGAAAGAACACTTTCCACATGGCAGCTCTGAAGACAATAGTCAGGCTACCATTGCCCTTTTCTGGATGCTCCACAAATTGTATGCACATCCCCGCCTTGCATTTGACATCACCTACACACAGAGTCCTTGATACTTCGACACACAGAACGTGCAATCAACAAAATGCCAACCAATAACACCTACACATGAACGTCCATTTATCCAAGTTCTCCCCCCACTGTGAAAGTGAAAGTGAAAGTGCAATAGATTTTTAAAAAATGAAAGTCAGGATGTATTTTTTAACTCTGTTAAAACTTAATTCTGCTGATTTCATTCTACTAAGATGATTATGAATCTTGATTCTGTTGCTCATTGTTTAAGAGTTTGATTGCTTAAGTCTTTTTACATTTTTTATATTTCGAATAAATGGACAAAAGATAGAAAACCTTTTGAGGTGGAATAGTAGTATTATCTGAGTAGTGATAGAACCATAATTTCTAGATTGTGACAACCACTGTCACAGCTAAAGAATGTTTCCTGTTGACTAGTAACCACACTCTTTAAATACTAAAAATATTAAGACTTAAAATTTAAAGTTTCTATCATCAGTAAAATACATTTATGTGGAATGTCATTAGAGAGGTTCATTCAACCCTTCCCTTTCTCAAACTTCTCTTATTTCCTTGAACTAAAGAAATATTTCCTTTCTAAATAAATACATTTATATAAATAAAATTTCGAGAAGTAAATGTTCTCTCACACACTGCAGATCCACAATAAAAGATTGTTCTCATATACAGTTAAATCTTCGAGGGACTACCATATGCCAACCACTTCACATGGGTTATCTCACTTGATGCTATGAAGTAAGTACTATTATCACTTCTGTTTTATAGATTACAAAGCCAAGCTCACAGAGGTTCACTAATTTGCCCAAGGACACACAGCCAGCAAGAAGGAGCCGAAGGGCTAGTAGCAATGGAGGAAATGAGGACCATAAAGCCTATGAGAGAAACACTGATGCACTTAGGCTGTGCCTGGGCTCCCCCGCCTTCCAGGGGCCCTGACATAGAGACTCTGTCAGACGAGCACACAGAGGGAAGATTTCACTTTATTGTTACATTAGTCTCACAAATACACCCAACACAGCCAGAAACACTGAGCAGATAAAGTGCCAATGCAGAGGCCTGGTAACAGAAGGAGGGAGGAATCCAGTTCATCTCCTCCACGTGCCCAGCCTGGAAAGATATTTCTATTACGCAAGAGTGAGGGCAACTGACATACTAGGCAATCCATCTATAGACACTTTGAGCTAAGGAATAGAAAATCTTACCAGGTGGTGTCTGTGCAGGGCAAGGAAATAGAAAAGTCAGAAAACATTTGTTCCTCAAATAAGTCAGGCATAGAAATATCAAACGAAAAGACAGTATTTTTCAAGCTGCTTGTATTTGAGACAGATATCTAAAAAGGAAGGAGATGGGTACAGGTCTATAGGGTTACTTCTTGCTACTGTCTGTTTTCAGAACTGTGACCTGGGTAGACACTCTCTTCCCACACTCTCAATCAGAGGTGCCACAGAGAATTTTCTAGGATTCTGGGAAGAACTGACCTTACCTGCTTATCTAGCCAGCCCCAGAAAAGTAGACCCAGTGCTTCCTCATGAATATCGAGGAGATATGAGCTATCAGAGAAATCAACTTGGCAGCATTTAAACATTAATGAAGCTCGATGCTTCCCATAATTATCTTCAGACATTTTAGGTACCTCTATCAAGCCTGAGGTTTAAAGCACAATTATTTGGTTATTGAATTCAAATGATTTGACTGCATTGAGTGAGACTCTGATATCCTAAGCTCAGATGGTCCCAAGTGTCTCTATTCCAAAATTGGAAAATCACTGACTGATTCTCAGAGGCCAGAAAGATCACTAATGGCCATCTGATCATACCTAACTCCATATATATAATCCTGAACTCTAAGGCATCTTTCTAGCACCTGAGAATTCCTGGCCTCACTTGGTCCACAGGGAAGCCAAATAAGGATCCACTAGGCCAAAGAACTTCCAACAAGCCTCACTTGTGGCCAAGACTCAAGGCTCAGAGTGAACTTTCAACTAGGGAAGGAAGAAGAAAAGTATTTCAACTCAGCCCTAGGATAAGAAGCAGGCCAAAGTGGTACCATGATAGGTAAGGGAGGAGAGGGGCGAGACCTCAACAGAAAGGTGCAGGTGACCCCTATGTAAGAAAAGGGGGGTAGTTTGAGGGGGCATGGAAGGCTGGTAACGTGGGATCACCTCTGCTGAGCTCAGATGTGGCCTCCCCTGTGGTGGCTGTGCTTAGTTTTCCATCTTGTTTTCTCTAGAGAGGCTGGTAAGAAGGGGCCTGGGGGGTGACCCAGTGACAGCTGGCTGCACTATGGCTTCCTAGCTGTTCAAATAGGGGTCATCAAGTTCCCAGTCTTTAGGGAGCTTCTGTAAAGCTAAAAACATTCAGAATTCCAAAGAACTGTTTGGAAGGGACAGTAGCTGAACACTAGACAAGACTGATGATGAGACCTGGCAAAGTTTGAAGCAGGATCATTAAATACTCAAGGAACTCCAAAGGCCAACTTGGGAATCTCTTAAAGGGAAATGCACAGCTGGCGATTTTTCTGACTTCTCTGAGCACATCTCTGACTAAATTGAAGCGAAGATTCCATTACAGGTATCTATGTGCCCAAACTGACACTCCAACAGAAAGGCTTTAGGAAACACCTGTGACCTCCAACTCTTTGAGAGGGGTCAGGAAATATTGGGGAGTCAGAAAAAGTTGTCCTTACCACTGCCAGCTCCTGCCCTGCTTCTTTTATTGTACCAGAACAGAGCTTTAGAGTTTCCCAACCCTCAATTCCCAACCAGAAAGTTTCATTCCTGACCTCCATCCCAGAAAGGATTCCCTAAGTAGACCTTCCCACCAACTAATTCTACCCTTCTCTTTTGGACCTGCTCTGGGTTTTTTTCATCTTCTTTCCCTACTTCTGTTCCCAGCTACTTGGGTCCGAAGCAGACAAATAACCAGCTAGGCAGAAATACTGACTGGATTTTGGGGGTATCAGTATCTGACAAGAATGCTTAGATTATTTACTGAAGCCTTCAATTTCATCTCAGAGACTGGTTAATGTTCTTCTGTCTGTGGTTCCTCCTTCCTCCTTCCCTCCAAGAAGTTCAAGGTGAGAGACCATCTCATTTATCTTGATACCCATGGCTTTTAGGCACCAAGATAAACGCCTAAATATGACAGTTTGGGTCAGGGGACTTTTAGTGGGCTTAGCACCCAGATCCTCCTAGCATTCATCCCCGAAGCATATCCTTTCCCTAACCTGTTTACGAACCCTCCTCTTCACCCTCCTCTCAAGGCTTGAAGACAAATGGAGCCGCATGGGAGAATGAACATGGTCTTGGCTTGTCAGGTCTAAGTTCTAGGTCCCTTCTGTCACTGACTTGGTATATGGGCTTAGACAGTTCACTTGCCTCTCTGGACCTTTAAATGAAAGGGTTGGACTAGATGATCTCTCTGGACTCTTCCAGATCAATTCACACTTCAGAAATCAAAGAATAAATTAGAAGAAATTCTAATTCTGAGACATAAGTATCCTGCATCCCTTTGAAACAGCTGAAGGGAGGTAAAGTCAGGTTCCTGTTTATCATACATTTTAGCTATAGGAAAAGAAGCAAGTACACCTATGGAGAAATAGAACCTGGCAGCCCCTATACTTGACTAATAAAAGTAAATTCCTGGAAGAAGCAGAGAAATAGGCCACAAGTGAGACCTGGCAGTGTCAAAAAGGTCTATAAATTAAGTGATCAAAGGAGTAAAAAACAATGGCTAAGACCAGACAAGATCTCTAAGCACAGGCTAAAGTCTAGAGAGGTCTGGGTGGGAGGGAGCCCCTGCAGCTTCTATTAGAGGGAAGGACTTGGTCCACAGCAAGTTGCTACGGCATTTGGTTCAAACCCAGTTTTCTCAATCTGTCAACCTGGTGTGTATGCATACGTGCAGACATGCTGCAGGCTGTAGTTATGCTTCTGAAGTGCTGAAATGAAAAAGAAATAGAAGAAATGATACCAAAGTCAGAGAAATCAGGCTGAAGGCAAGCACAATTTTAGTTTAAAAGCTATTCATTTTCCCCACCACTCTATGCAGTATCATCATTGCTCATTCTGAAATGTGGGCTAGAGAGTTTCATGGGATTGTGAACTCTGGGGATGGGGAAGGGTGTACCTGTGGTATTATTGAAGGTCAAAGGCAGTACACAACTTAATATCCTGTGCAAGAACCCCTCTGCTTAATGACAAATGGATTTGACTTGACCTGACCCATTCGGGTACTCACTTGTCTTCATTCAAGGAAACTGTCTCCACAAAAGGGATTTCTTCCTTGTCTGTCTTCCCCATGATCAGCCGGTGCTTATCCAAGTTTATGATGCACTGAAAACAAAGGCGAATCACTGGTCACTGTTAATGATCTCACTATGGGGTCTCCATGTAAGAGGACCCCTACCTCAGAGAAGAAATACCAATGGGAAGGTAAAACAGTCCTACCTTCAGGGATCGGAGAGTCTGGAGACCAAGGGACAAGTTTTTCTCATTGTCCTCTAATAAAAAAGATAAGATTCAACCATTTTCATGTTGGTTTAGAAGTCAGCCTTAGGTTCTATCCAACTTTCCTTCCTTCCATCCATCCATCAATCCATCCATCCACCCATCCATCAAACATCTGTTGAGCACTTATTATATTAAGTAATCTCCCCAGATGATTATAGTTAAAATGTGAGCGAGTCAAGATTCAACCCCAGGTGTTTTTAACTCTAAAGGACAAAGGCCTTTGGACAAAAATCAGGAACTTAGAGTAGACTTGAATAGAGTACATGACAGAAAGTACAGGTGGTGGGAAATTATCAAGAGATTTATGGCAAAGGAGTAAAAGGATCTTGCCCTCTACCTCCAACTAGCCCATGGAAAGGGGCCATTTTTACTGGCACACAGAAATGTTTGTTTTCTTATCCTTTGAATTTTTTTTTTTTTAAACAGAGGAAAGCACGAACACAGTCCCCCACTGTGTTCAAATTATGCAGTCGAGTTTCCCACATTTGGGGAAATCGCAGGGGTCAGCACATCCGGAGTACAATGGATAAGCCTCGCCCTGGGAAAACCACCCTCGTGATCATGGTATTTCCCCTACCAGGTAAGTATATCCCTTGAATTTTTAAATCATGAGTTACACACTCCTTTTTCTGAGTGATTCTCAATACGTCTTGAATGTAGCTCAGAGCCAATCTGGTACTTTGGAAGGCAAAAACTGGGACAAGATTTATAGTACAAAAAAGTGGAAACCTGGGATTTTGAAGAAGTCAACATTTACAGGCATGAGATCACATGAGGCTTTGGTGGAAGGAGGGAGAGGGTTTACCTTAGGGGTCCATAGGTCCAGTCCCCAGTTCTACTCACCAACCACAGCTGCTGGACAGTCTAGGCGGAGGGAGCCCAGTGTGATCACTAGGTGCTCAATCTGGCCCACTACTTTGAGATGCCGGGGTAGAGAAAGCTTCTCTCCTTCATGCTTATGAGATTTGACATGCTCCTTGAGTCTGTACCAGAGAAGAAACACCAGAATCCCCTTGGCAGAGGTTTCTGGTAGAATCTGGCAATGCCTACCTTCTGACCCACAGCTGGAATTTTCCAGGGATTTCCTGGGTTTATTTACATACATACACACACACACAAACACACATACACACACACAAGCTAACCTACACTTCTTGTTTCAGCACTTTGGCCTAAATATGCCAGGGGATGTGAAAAACTAAAGATTCAGCTCCTATTCTCAAAAAGCTATGTTAGTATCTGCATTGGTGAAAGATGAGAGTTGACACACCCAGAGAATCCTGTTCTGCATCCCAAGATCCCCACCTATGTGCAAGGCAATTTAGTTAACATATCCTTTTACCCATCTGTGGGTAACAGAGCTCAGAGAGGACAGGTTAATCCTAATTTTAGAAGATGCTTTGTTCAATGTCTAATTTTCTCTTTGTCTATTTCAGTCTATTCTCACCAGTTAGTCAGGCTATAAGGTTAGTGGAGGCAAATATCTGTTTGTTAAGTGCACTGATATTGATATCAGCAAGGAATATTGTGGAGAGAGCCCTACATACTTTAACTTGTCTGTGTAGGAGAAAGAACAGCACCAAGGTTTCACACAGTTATGTAAGCTGATTGGAACAGCCAGCACCCAAGCTATTATGGGTTGGTAGATAAATACTTAATTATGGACTTTCTGTGCCAATACTTCTGCTTTACTCCATTTCCTCTCCTTTGGTGTTATACCCCATCCAAAAGAAAAATAATTGCAGTTTTACAGATGGTTATTAATTCCTCTGGAATCATGGCAGTCTGCTGCCTAATTATGCACCAGGACATTATTAGCCTTTCTGGAATCATCATGTTGCACTATCTCTCATCTCTCCACCACATAAAAAAGCTCAGAATTCTTCCCACAGGAGCACTTGTGTCCTGGTCAACCCCACCATCCTAAATAGCAATGCTTGAAAGAGTCACAGTGGTAGTGAGGGCTGAGAAGGTAGAAATGAGACGGAACAGATCATGTGGCAGATGTCATGGGTTATACAAATCAAGACTTATGTAAACCCTGCTTAAAAATATGGATTTCTTGTAGTGGCTTAAAATAGGCCATTATATCTACCCTAGTGTTGTTTCAATAAAGAGATTTGGGCTGGAAAATGATCTGTTATACTTAGGGCTAGCGAAGTGGAAAAGAATATTGGACTGATCCTCCCAATTCTGGGCTAGACCTCGGAGCCCATCAGGTACTTTGGAAGAAAAAGAAGGAAAAAGAAAGGAAATAAAATTACATATTGAGTGAAAAGGAGGAAAGATACAAAATGGCTTTCTCTGAAAAAGAGGGAGAACCCAATTCCAGCTATTAGAGAAGTGAAGATATTCTATATGTGAGGTGTCTGCCTCACACCCAGTCCCCAGCAGGGGCAGCAGTAAGATCTGATTTTACATATTCTTTGCTGAAAGGAAAGGCACTAATCACCCCTGTGATGGTTCAGGCCCAGCAGCAACAGCAGATCTATTCCACATTCCGACTGAATCTTCTTAGGATAGGCATGTGGCCTCCTGATGGACCTCGAGGAATCTAAGGCCAACCACATTCCTGCTTTTACTTCTCTGGGGTATACATACCAACAAGGTAGCTCCTTCTACTCTGTTGCCTGGGCAGGGAACAAATCAGGATCAGGACATGGCACACAATGAACCAAGGATTTCACATGCTCTCGTTCCAGAGCCCAAAGGTCTTTTCTCAAAATTTATTGGCAGGAGTTAATAGAAAGCCTGCACCTCAAAACAGATTCAAACCAAGAGTGCATTAACATCTGACTTCCAGCACAAGTGGCTACTTACCCCAGCCTGTCCACACAGGCTGAAGAGATGAGATTATATTGACAGCCGGTGTCAACCAAGGCTTTCACATCCTTTCCAGCACACTGTGGAGAGGAAACATACTGTTTAACAGAAGCCAGAGACTTACAAGGGAAGCAAGCTGCAGATGTCATATGAAAGGCAGGGTTGGAGAGCATCCTCACAATTATGGGATGGTAGCATCCCATCTTTACCCACTGCTGAGGGGTTCTTTACCCCTTTGAGGGGTTCTTTTTCCTGCTGAATCTAGAGCTGACAGAGGATCCCAAAGGGCCTTGGGCGTTTTATTCTATATGTCAAGTAGCTCTTAACTCTGTGTGTGTATCACATGCCACTTTGCAAATCTGATGAAACATTTGGTCCTTTTCCCCATAAAGATGCACATGCATAGAAAATATTGCATACGTGTTGCATGGAGTCCCCTCTTAAAATTCATTTATGAATTCCATGATAAGACCCATTTTCTACACAGTTTGGAGGTGAGGCCTTCATTATTGGGATCATAATGGGCCCAAATCCTACTCTCCAGAAAACCCTTGAAAAGCTGTTCTCAGAACATTACCTGGCAAGAAACCAAAATCAGGTCATCATCCTCAGACTTCTTTAGCCCCTCAGACTTGGCCTGGTTGAGTTTGTTGGTCTTGGAGGCCCAAGGGACACGACTGCTTCGAAGCTTAGACAGGTTGGTTTCCATGAGGCGTCTCTGCAGAATGTTATGAGGTTGCTTGAGGAACAGAAAGCAGAGGCTTCTTAGTGACAGCCATTTCCCCCTTCTCTCATTGTCCCCCAGATGCCACAGAGGTGAAGGAGCCTCACATAACTGAGCTATACATTCTCTGCTTATTTATTCTTCCTTTAAGTAGAGACTTCATTGGTATTGTCAGAGCAGATACTATGAACCAGTTTGCAGCAGGCTGCCCTGAGTGAATGAAGGAGCAATGGGGAACAGAGGGCAGTGTGGGCAGGGCCAATAGAGTATGGCTAAAGAGAACTGAGGGACCCTTGTGATTTGGACTGCCTGGGCTTGCTGCCTTCCCTCCCTTTATGAAGGCATTTCAAGAGGCAAGTGGCCTTAGTCTTTGTGGAATAAGTGTATCTTTCCAAGTGATTTACAGAAAGGGCAGCTCATTCTCACAAGCTGAAGAAACCTACCTAGCACTGGTTTTCAGAAGTTCTGCATTCTGCATGACCTCTATTTCAAGTTTCACTCCCTCACAGTCTTACTGTGCATATGTCTTGGTGACCTGGCTCTCCTGTGGGCTGAGTCATCCACGGGGTGGATGAGGTAGGAAGACAGGAATTCATACCTGCTGAACAACCCTTTTAGGAGACATACTTTAGAACCTGGCAGAACCCACAGGAATCATCCTTACTGTTATCCTCTGGACCTCAAGGAGCATATGCCTCCTCCTGCCACATGCTTGCCATCCATTTCCCGTCTCTTCAATGGGCCAAAAGTGGAGTACAAAAGGGGCAGAGATTGAGTGACCTGGAAGCTGGGGACTTAATTAGACCTTATATCTGTGCCAGGATACCTAATGTTAGGAAGCAGGATGAGGAATGTGAATTCAAGTCTGCTCTCTGATAGAGCTTCAGGAGAGTTCCTAGGGCAGGTATATCCACACTCTACTGTTTCTACCCAAAGTGGCCTCCAGAAAGTATAAGCTACCTCTTGAAAAGAGGTTATTTGACCTGAGAAACTTCTATGCACAAGCATCTTATTTCCAGTTTACAATAATATTTAAAATCCCTCAAAAGGACAGAGTCTAACTCCAAGTTTCTATGTGACACATACCAGATGGCATTCCAATTCTAGGGGGAAGAGGGTCACTCCTAGGTGCCTAGAACCTTCCCTGGGAAGCGGGTAAAACTGGAGAAAATTCATTTTCCACCATCTTACAGATTCCTGAGGAAGAATGGAGTCAGAGCCATGACTCACTATATCCCTGGTGAGGAGAAGAAATAGATTCCCAAAATATCCCGATTTTTGGCAAGGCAGTTCTAAATTAGCATCCTTGGGAAAAGGAGAGAGAGGCACTTAAAAGAAAATAAAAGGTTCTTAACTTGGTAAGGAATTAGAGGAAGTGCTAACTCTGTCAGATTTCCTGATTTGACACTGGAAGAATGCTTTGCTTTGCAAAAGAAACAGCAATCCTTCATTCTTCTCTCTCTCACTAATAAGCCTGGATTCATACTACAGCAGGGTGTTTGTTTCTGTAAAATCTGTACTTAGGAGGGCAGACTTAGATAACTTTGATTTGCAGAGAATGGAAGGGACTTCAAAGGCCATCTAAACAGAGCCCTCTTAACCTAAAGTTTGAGGCTTTCCTTCTTTATTGGTCTTGCTGAACACTATTTTCCTGGTTACTCTTAATCCTGAGAGGAGTCTACCATCACCAGACAAATGAAGGAAATGAGGAAAATTCTGAAATCATTTTCCTTGAAGTCATCTCTCTTCTGAATTTTCCTACCAGGCCCTTTCTCCACAGACTGTACATATTCTCAAAATTCTCATATTTTGGGGAGAAGACGCCTCCACAAAACCTCAGACCCTGCCTCCTGAACTCTTCATCCTCCTTTAATCAGCCCTTGTCTTAAATGGTCTTTATTTTTTTTTTAACATTTTTTATTGATTTATAATCATTTTACAATGTTGTGTTAAATGGTCTTTAAAAAAGCCAAAATCACTACATATATTTCTTGATATCTTATATCTTCTTCACTGAAATCACTTCTGGTCCCACAACACCAATAATGATCTCCTACTTTCCAAATCTGGTAGACATTTTCCAGTCTTCACTTTACCTGACCTCTCTAGGACATTTGACCCTGCTGACTATTCCTTTATTTATTCTTTTATTTAGTTACCAAAAAAGGTTAAATATAGTACATGCTCAATGTAAAATATTCTAATATCACTTAAGTATATAAAATTAAAAGGGAAAGCCTCCCCAACCTCTCAATCCTTCTCAGCTCCCCCTACAAATAACAACCATTAAATTTAGGAGTATATCCCTCCAAAATTTACAAATATAAATAAAAATATGATCATATTATAACACCCTTCTAAATTTTTCTATTTTTGTTTAATATATGAAAGGTATTTTCCTATGTCAGCACATATAATTCTCTTTAGTCATTTCCATAACTAAAAGTATTCATGGCATAGTTCAGAAGTTGAAAATTCACAGCCAATAAACTCACATGAACCTCAGAGATGCTTCTCCATGGTCATTTAATCATGCCCTCATGTTTTAAATGACACTGTAACTGCAAATGTACCTCTGCACCCAACCAAAATTTCACTAAAATGAAAGCCAAGGAATAAGAAAGGTCTAAACCTACAAGAACAAAGAAAACAGTAAAGTCAACAACAACAACAAAAGAGATGGTGACAAAATTTCAGAATCTAAAAAGCAGACCAACAACTACTAACTGATGTAGACTAGAGAAAGCTAAGTGTTTCACATTATTCTACTTCATGGAACACTGGAGTGGCAGAGACTACCAGCTGCTAATTAAAATCCATGATCTCCTCGTCTTTCTGGGCAGACACCTAGATTATGTTTCCTGGCCTTCTTGTTTTTGGTTTTTTTTTCTTCATTTTTATTACAGTTAAATTTTTTTTAATAATTGGAGTATAGTCAGTTTACAGTCTTGCATCAATCTCTGGTGTACAGCATAATATTTTAGTCATACATATACATACATACGTTCATTTTCATATTCTTTTTCATTGCAGGTTACCTACAAGATATTGAATATCTTTTGCTACACAGTAAACTTGTTTTTTATTTTATATATAGTAGTTAGTATCTGCAAATCTCAAACTCTCAATTTATCCTTTCCCAACCTTTCCCCCCAGTAACCATAAGTTTGTTTTCTGTGTCTATGAGCCTGTTTCCATTTTGTAAACAAGTTCATTTGTGTCTTTCTTTTTTAGAGTCCACATATAAATGATATCACATGGTATTTTTCTTTCTCTTTCTGGCTTACTTTACTTAGAATGATGATCTCCAGGTCCATCCATGTTGCTGCAAATGGCATTATTTTATTCTTTTTTATGGCAGAGTAGTATTTCATTGTATAAATATACCACAACTTCTTTATCCAGTCATCTGTCAGTGGACATCTAGGTCGATTCCATGTCTTGGCTATTGTATATAGTGCTGCTATGAACATTGGGGTACATGTGTCTTTCTGAATTAGAGTTCACTCTGGATGTATGCCCAGGTGTGGGATTGCTCAGCCTTCCCTGTGGTTAGGCAAGGCCATATGACTGAGTTTGTTAAACACAATGTGGGCAGAAGTAACACACACCACTTCTAGACCTGGCCTGTAAAGCTCTTCCTGTGTACCCTCCTCCACATTCTTTTCTTCTTCTGACTGTCTAGAATGGAGATGACCCCTACAGTAATCTTCCTGGAGGTCACATGTTAAAGACAGAAAAGCCACTGTCAGCCTGTGCTCCTAAATGACTACATGGAAGAGGGCTGTCTTATTGACCTTTACACTAGAACCACTACTTAAGAAAAAATAAACTGTTATATTTGAACTATTTATACTTGGGGGTCTAGCTGTAAAAGCAGTTTTCCTACTCAAACTAAAACCCTGAAAAAACTGAGGAGTTAGAGGTATTAGAACCTTTACAGTTGGAGGATATGATTAGGGTTGGAAAGAGATTAGTATTAGTATTTAAATTTTAAAGAGATTAGATTAGTATTTAAATTTTACATAGAAAATTAAATAAAGAAGAAAAGACTCCTACTTGACCCAGACAACTGGGAAGAATGCCAAAAGTTTACTCTTTTTGTAAGAGTAAATCAAAAGATTGGCTGGTTGATAATTTGGCTAGGCTTAGAAGAGATTTCTTGAACAGCTAAAGATGAGTGTGGAGTGCCATATTGTGCCGGAATTAAAGGATAGGAGTTTAAAGATTGAAAGGCTCACATGGAGCCTTGAATACTGAGAGATAAAAGATTCACACCAAAATTTCACATCACTAAGAATTTTTGGAATATCATGGATGACAAAGATTCCAAAAGCTTTCAAAAAGAAAAAGATGATTCAAATACAAAGGATTAGGAACAGAATTGTACAGGACTAACCAATGGTAATAATGGAAGCTAAAAGACAATGGAATAATACTTTTAGAAAAGCAGACAGCACAGAATTTCTAAACCTCGCCAAGCTATCAACAAAGACTCAGGAAAGTGATTTCCTATGTATCACATTGAAGGATATGCTCCACCAAAGCAAGGGAAAACAACAAAGAAAAAAGCATAGGATCCAAGAAATAAAGGATCCAACAGAGAATAGAAACAAAGGAAATTCTGAGAATAGTATTGAAGGAAAAGTCCAGGATATTGGTTGTGTAGTGGGCCTTGAGAGCAACCAGTCCAAAATGAAATGGTAGGATAGAGCACTCCAGGAAGGATGTCTCCAAGGGAAGAAAAAAAGACCCTGCTAGATCACCTATAGTTTTAAGGTACTTGGAGATTTAAATTTTACATAGAAAATTAAATAAAGAAGAAAAACTAGGCAATTATTAATTTTGATAAAAATAAGTATTTGTATGAGAAAGGAGACATAATTATAGTACATTATTTGACTCGGCTGTGAATAATAGGAATATAGTACAACCACGTAAGCAGTATATGCTGATTTGATCCAAAACAGCTATTTAACTGTTATTAACATATT